GGGGTGGGCAGGGTCACTGGGGTGTGAACTGCGGGGTTTCCAGGCTGCTGTCCTGGCCACACTCTGCTGGGCCTTCGTTGGCAGTGCCCCGGTCAGGGGCTTTGGGGCTGAGCCTCGGTAGGGCAGGTGGTCTGGCCAAAGCATGGCACACCTGGTCGCCTTGTAAAGGCCAGGGCTTTAAACGCCCTTCCCTGAGCCTGGCCGGGCCCCTGCTGTTCCGCCTGGGTGTGCTGCGGGCTCCGCAAACGGAGCTCTTGATCCCCATAACCCTGCTCAGGCTCACCCAGCAGCAAACGGCAACTCCACCCTCCCAGGCCCGAAGCCAGGGCCATCTCATCCCTTCCTCTCACATCTCACGCAGGGGCACCAAGCACCTGCCCCCCCCCCATCGCCTCCCCACTGCCAGGCCACCCGCCTCCTGAGCCCCCTCACTAGTCTCCCCACTTCCACCTCTGCCCCCTGCAGTCTCCTGTCCTCACAGCCACCCGAGGGATCCTTAGGGAATGCAAGTTGGGTCACCTGACTCTGCCGCTCACCTTGCAAAGCCCCGGGTTCACTCAGTGAGGGCTGGACCCTGTCCTGGGCCTGCAGAGCCACCTGCTTCCGGTCTCCTTCCTGCCCACCCTCCTGCCTGCAGAACTGCCTCCAAAGCAAAGCACTTCCGGTTCAAGCGATGTGGCCCTGACCCTGCCTGTTCCAGCTGCTCCACGCTGTCGTGCTGAGTTCAGTATGAGTGTCTTTGTCTGCAACCATAATGTTGAAATGTCATATTGTAACAGTAAATCTATTTGGTGCGATTCCCAGTAAAAGGAAGAATCATTATACATCCTGGGGTTTCGGCACCAAAAACAAAAGAAAAGAAATCATTATAACTTGTTGGACCATTTTTGCAACTTTTCTGTAAGCCTAAAAACATTATAAACTAAAGTTTATTAAAGTGAAAAAGCGAGCCTGGCTGTCAGTTGGTTAGAGTGTCGCCCGATACGCTGGAGTTGCGGGTTTGATCCCAGGTCAGGGCACATACAGGAGTCAACCAATGAGCATAATATGTGGAGCAAGTCAATGTATCCCTCTCTCTCTCTCGTTCACATCAATTAATCAATCAATGAAATGCTAATACTAAATAAATAGCCCTGGCTGGTGTGGCTCATGCGGTTGGGTATCGTTCGTGCACCGAAAGGTTGCCCATTCAATTCCCAGTCAGGGCACGTGCCCGGGTTGCAGGCTTGATCCCCGGTAGGGGCGTGCACAAGGCAGTTGATAAATGATTCTGTCTCTCTCTCTCTCTCTCTCTCTCACCGATGCTTCTCTCTCTCCCCCTTTTAAAAAATATTTAAAAAGCTAATAAATAAGAAAGAAAGGGACGGGAGAAGGGGAGCAATTGTGGTGAAAAAGGAGTCACTGTCCAAAGGCGGCTTAACTTCGCAAGAGCCAATCCTCCTGTGGCCAGTGTGCAGCAACACAGGGTCTGTGACCAGGGCTGCCCCGTGCACGCCTTGAGGGGGGCGGGGGGGGGGCGGGGTACGGTTCTCCTATTTTGGCTGAGTGAACAGAGCATGGCCTCCGGTCGCAGTCAGACGAGCCAGGCCTGGACAGGAAGCCAGAGCACAGGCCTGGGAGAGCGTGTGCGAGGCAGAGCGGCAGCGGCGCCAGCAGAGGGCAGTCGGGCATCAGGGTTCCCTGGGAAGCATCTGAGCTGGACCTGGAAGGAGTGGGATTTCCGCTGGAGATGGGGGAGGGGGGGAAGAATATTCCAGAAAGGGGGAATGAGCCAGTGGGGGGCTGTGGGTGGGGCGTTGGGTGGTTCCTTTGCAGGGCTGGGAATCTTTCTGCCCAGGGCCATTTGGGTTTTATAACATCATCCCTGGGCCATACAAGTTTATCAGCTTAAAAATTAGCCTGTGGCTGGTGTGGCTCAGTGGTTGAGCGCTGGCCTATGAACCAGATCATCCGCCAGACATCTCCATTCAGACATCCCACAGGCCCCTCAAAACTCAACAGTCCCACACTCCCCTCATTGTTTTCATCTGCCTGCCTACCCCCAACCTCCCAACCCTCTCCTTCCTGCCCGCTCTGTCTTGGGGATGGCATATCCATCCCTGTGGCCCTGAAACCAGAATCCGGGGGGCCTTTTTCAAAGCCCTTCTCTCCCTCAGTCCTGGCCTAGGGATTTCACTCCCTCCACGCCCTGGTCCCCAGACCTTCAGTCCTGCCTGCTTTCCACAAATTAATTAAAAAAAACAACAACAAAAACTTGCCCTAGCTGGTTTGGCTCAATGGATAGAGCATCAGCCTGCGGACTGAAGGGTCCTGGGTTCAATTCTGGTCAAGGGCACATGCCTGGGTTGTGGGCTTGATCCCCAGTGGGGTGCGTGCAGGAGGCAGCCAATCAATTATTCTTTCTCATTATGTTTTTAAAAATATATTTATTGATTTCAGAGAGGAAGGAAGAGGGAGAGAGAGAAACATCAATGATGAGAGAGAATCATTGAGTGGCTGCCTCCTGCACACCCCCCACTGAGGATCGAGCCCGCAACCCAGGCATGTGCCCTTGACCGGAATCGAACCTGGGACCCTTCAGTTCACAAGCTGATGCTCTATCCACCGAGCCAAACCGGCCAGGGCTATTCTTTCTCATTGTTTCTGTCCCTCTCTCTTTCTCCCTTCCTCTCTCTGAAATCAATAAAAACATTTTTAAAAAATATATTTTTATTGATTTCAGAGAGGAAGCGAGAGGGAGAGAGAGAAACATCAATATGAGAGAGAATCATCATTCCTCCTGCACGTTCCCTACTTGGGACCGAGCCTGCAACCTGGGCATGTGCCCTAACCAGGAATGGAACCATGGCCTCCTGGTTCATAGGTCAATGTTCAACCACTGAGCTACGCCTGCCAGGAAATAAAAACATTTTTTTTAAATGTTTGTTGAATGTATTACAAAGTAGTCCAAGGACAGTGTATGCAGTATTCCATTTTCACACTAGATGGCGGCAAAGGCCAACTTATGTCCAGTTCCGTCAATCTGAGTCTGTGGCTCTTCCTTACCTGAGCAGGGAAGGCCGGCCATTACCCCAAATTTAACCTGAGAAAAAACTCAGGCCTGGAGAAGGCAGGTGACACTCCAAGTTTGCCAACTTGTCAGAGCCAGGAGCCAAGATCTCACCCATGTCTCCTAGATATTCTGGGCTTCCGAATCGACCTTTCCCAGGGAGACACTCTCACACCTCAATTTCCACCCACACCCTGTTGGAGGCCTACCCCCATGTCCTCTCACTCTCCTAGTCTCAATCCTTTACTGAAGTCAGAAAGCTGGCCAGTTTGCTCAGTGGATAGAGCATCTTCCTGCAGACTGAAGGGTCCCAGGTTCGATTCCAGTCAAGAGCACATGCCCAGGTTGCTGGCTTGATCCCCAGTGTGGGGTATGCAAGAAGCAACCGATCAACCAACGATTCTCTCATCATTGATGTTTCTCTCTTTCGCCCTCTCCCTTCCTTTCTGAAATCAATAAAAAAATGTATATATATATATTTAAAAACCTGCTGTCCAAGTCCATACCAACTAGCCCTGGGCCTGGGGGCTTGAGGGGAACCTCGGGGAGGCTGGGATATGGGGGAGCTACCACTTGGATCCAGGTTTGTTTACCCCTGTACTTCTGGGATTGCCGGGATGATGAAATCCAAGGAAACATGTATAAAAGACATACATGCTGGGGGTGTATGTTGTCAAGACCTATACTCTTGACTTGGACATAACTTTCAGGAAAATGTTACATTGGCCTCCTCCATTCTTTTGTGCTCAGAGGGTGGAAGGTGGCTTCCGGCCTACTTTTCTGTCCTCGTGCCTTTACATTTCCAGTCCCAGCCAACTGGGAGCCTGTGCAACACAAGAAGCAAAGTAGCCCCTGGCAAGTCTCCACTCCTCTCTTACTTCTCTGCTAATAAGTCTAGTGCCTCAGGGAGCCGTCCAGCTCTAGACAAACATGGGAGACCTTTCTCCATAAAAGGCTCCTAAGACGCTGTGACTCAGCATCAAGGAGACCATGGGGTCTAGTGCAGCTTCTCCCTTCCTCTGCCCCGACTAGGTCACTTCAAGAGCAAGCCCCTCTGCCCCGGGCCGCCCAGGCTGAGTCTATTGGTCCTGGGTCTGCATGGCTGCTTCATCTGTGAGGACATTCCTGCACTGAAGAAACAGCAAGAGTTGAAGTGTTGAAATTGACTAGGGTTCAAATCCCGGCCTTGCTGCCTTGGCAAAGTGGCCCGATCAGTCTGCAGCCCCATTTGCAACAGTGAACCCAGCCATTTATTGAGGCCCCTCCACTGGGCTGGGTACAGGATCCCTCTGCAGCTGCAGCCTCTTTGGTCCGGGGTCCCCATTCTCACAGGCCTGGCTGGCTTTACTGGATTGAGCCTCTCCCACTGTTAAAGGAACAGGCTGATTAGAAGCAGACACCTCAGATATGTAGTGGCCAAGGTGGAACCACGTGTGTCATTTTAATATTTCATTTATTTCATTTGCAACTGAGGAAATACTACCTGAAGCTCACGCAGTTGCACAGAACAGGGGAGACATGACCAGTTGTTGGGGCAGCTGACAAATGACAACGTGACCAACCCAAGACTTAAGAGGTAACATCAAATGGCTCTTTATTGGCTGCAGTGGCGCCTCTTCAAGGCTTGCATGGAAGCAATGGGAACCCTCCTCCTCCTGTCCTCCAGCTTTCTCTCCACCCCCCTCCTCCAGCTTTCTCCCCACCCACCAGCTCACAGCCAACTGCACAGAAACAGGCTGCTGAAAGAAGATCCTATTGTTTCTGGGGATGTTATTGGGTCACTCACCCACCACACATCCCTTCCATGCCCCCCGCCCCACTTGAAGATTGTGCTGTGTCTTATTAGACCGTAAGTTAAACAGGAACAAGGTGGGACCCCACAGAACGCCCATTTCTCCCCTCTACTCAGGGACAGAAACTCGGTTTATACTCAAAAGAATCACACCAAGAAGACCTTTTAATTTTTTATTAATATAAAATCTTTAAAGTTTTTAGCCGTAATCGGCGTGGTTCAGTTGGTTGTATATCGGTCGTCCCATGCACCAAAAGGTTGCTGGTTGATTCCCAGTCAGGGCACATGCCTGGGTTGTGGGCTCCATCTCTCTCACTAAAAAATTAAGAAATCGTTTTTTTAAAAAGTTAATTGTAAGGCTTCTCAACACTAGATGCATGGAAAATACCTGAAAATAAAAAATAAGGCAGTTACATTATGTCTCCATGTAAATACAAACTGATTCAGGATTCTGTCGACTTCAAAAGCTACTTTACTCCCAACTTGAGCCCAGCTAGCCCCTGAAGAGGAAATGGAGGAGAATCCTTAAGGCAGAGTTATTCAAGCAAAGACGCCACAGGGACTCGAACCCCGTCCTGGAAACCAGGAGTGCCAACCACCAGCATCTTTTGCTTTTTTTTAAAAAGCTAGGAAAAGGCGAAAAAGCAAAACCTGAGAAAACAAAAGATTGTTTTCTCAGGAAAAGAAAAACCTTTACAAGCCCTAGTGAAGAGCACTGGAGAATCTGCTTCAGCTAAGATGCTAGCTTGGCCAAGTCTGTATGTTCACCTGTAAAAGTCTTAGCAGAGAATTGTGCAATCCCACCCACTCAACCACTAAATCCTATCTTCAGTTTAAAGTTACAACTTCCCACCCAACATTCCAGTTCTTAAATGTTATTCTGCATTTACTAGTTTAAGTCAGTTTTAATCACTGGTAATAGTGCTGAATATTTAAAACATTTTTCGAGCTCAGTGTGGTTTTAGTAACAACCATTTGCAGGCAAATTAATGGCCTTTCTAGTAGTGCAACCCACCAAGACCTCAGCACCACTGTTACCTGCGACAGATATGGACCATGCCAAGGATCCAAGCTACTGGCAGCATCGAGGTGAGGGGTGAAGGGTCTGCGCTAGGCCAAAGGCGGGGAGTGGCGATGTGGCAGAGAAGTCACTTGTGGGGAGACCTTGCTTTTTAACAGGCTTCTGGAAAAGCTAGGGAAAAGGGGTTGCCCGCTTTACCCCTTTCCCTCCCCTTCAAGCATCACTTGAAGTTTGTTCAAGCTTTAAGAGCTGCTATAAAAACAGCTTAATTCAATATTAGGACAAGCCCAGGGGTTTACAAGGTACGCAGGCATTCCTTTGGGCGCTTCACTCCCCAGGAAAGAGGACCAGTGCATGTCTGCCAAGTGTTAAGGCAAGTCCTCGTTTCTGACAGAGGATGGGGTTACGAGGCCGACACCCGTTTTGACCTTAGTTAATAGCGCTTTGTTGTCTCTTGCCACAGGAAGGCTCCGTGGTTGTCCTACTTTAAGCCTTCGGTGCCTTTAGTGAGGTATACCTGAAAAATCTTAAAAAAAAAGGCTTAGCGCCCACCTCACCCCTCCGCCCCCAGGCCAACAACGTGCTCATGTATGTACTATTTGCTCCAGCATAAAGCTGAAGTCTATTCCACACTAAGTTATTTACCCATTAACTGACTTGGTATGTAAACAGAAAAGGCTTGGTCACCTGTTGTCCTCATTGTCCACTGGTGAATGCAACTGGAAGCTCCTTCTATAGTCTGAAGAATAGCATCTGAAAGAACTAGTGGTTCCCAATCCCCACATACAATACGGAATATTTGTTTAAAGAAAATAAGCTATTTTTCCTTACTGGGGCTGGCTTCTCTGGCCCTTTTCATACGTCTGCTGTTTTGAATGTTCCTGTGTGTAAGAATTAAGACCAAGGGAGGGGAGAGAGAAACCCACACAAACACAATGCACTAAGTAAGACCACTGAACTGTATTAACATTTCCACTTGCCAGTTACATTTCTTGAAGACTTGCATTTCTTGTCACTGAGTTTAAGTTGCATCTGGAAAAGACTAAAGGCTTCAGTGCCCTCCCCACCCCCCTACCAGGAAAGAACAAAAAGCATTTTACCTAAAGCACAGCAAAAGGCACTTGGCTTCAATCACAAACATGAATACTTAAAGCTGCAGAAATTTCCTCAACACTCAGCCTTTAGCACTCAGCTGGTTTTCCTTCAACAATCACTACTCCAAGCATTGGGGGAAACACAACTTTAAATCATACTCCAGTCGTCTCACAATGCATTCTAATAGCAGCGGATCAGAACAGTACTGCATTACTTGCCAACAGAACAGACAGACCTGAGGTCAAGACAACCGCATTCTGTGTAGTCTGTAAAAAAAAAACTGACAAGTAAGCCCCGCCCCCTCCTCCCATCCCTGGAAAATCAGAGGGGAAATGTTACTTGAGTATGCTGATAAACTCACTGCAGGGTCTCACACACTAGGAGAACAGAAGGCAGAGCCAAGCGCTAGATGCAAGTCAAAGTCCTGAACAGCTTCATGAGGGATGAAATGAAGCCTCTGCAAAGGAAAATTCTTAAAAAACCCACATGCCCCCCAACTTGTGTCTACATAAAAGGCCAATAGTGTGGACATTAGCTAACACTGGATGAGATGGTCATAAGCATTTAAGTTAACATGCAAACTTTGGAAATGTAGACAGTATTTTATTGCTCTAAGTTTACAGATCCCTGGACTTTCTGGAAACAGTGTAGGTGCAGTTACCTGTTTTTCTGATTATCTCCCACCTGTCCTATTAGGTATTTATTCCTTATTTAGAGGCCCTCTATTGCCATGTGCCTGGCATTATTAAATGCTCATCAATTTATGAAGAATAAAATTTGTCTTTCCTGCCTTAAGAGTTAAATTCCTTCTTCCGCTCAATTCCTGATCTTGTCCATTAAAGAGTGTTCGCAAAGTTTCTGAAAGATTAGAGAAGAATCCCCCCAAGATTGCCCAACACTAACCACAAAACAAACAGTATTTTATTTAAATAAGACAACTGCTTCCTAAAAGCATACATTTTCTATTAAAAATGTTTTATTTTGAACGATTTAATGGTTTTCTGCACAACATACAACAACACAACTTTTAAATTTTAGCAAGATTAACATCTGATTAACAGCACATTCTTATCCTATCCTATCATAGGGTTTTTCAATTCAGTGCTAAACAAAAATTTCAGTTTTATTATTAAGTACTAATCTGGAGAGGCTTGAAGAATTAACTTGCCTCTGAGTGAGGTGCTATCCCATCATGGAAGCCCACAGGTAAAGTCCTGTCTAATCTTAAAAAAGGCTGAATGGGGAACTTCCTCACAATCCTGGAATCCTCGGAAAGGGACCAGGAAGGAGGCCATGTTCAATACTTAAGACCTCCACAGCTCTTAATAAAAATAAGCACTTAGCCCTAACATGCAAAACTGCAGATGCAAGTTAAACTTATCTGTTAACAGTTGCCTGCTGTTTTCTGCTCCCAGATGAAATGAAGCAACTCTTCTGATAACGAAGAGAACCTGTCTGAGGCAAACGAAAGATTGGCAAACAGCACAGCCTCCTCTCCTCTGAATCCACTTGATCCCAACTCCTCTGAATTATTTCAGCTTCTTTTATTCCGGGATTAATGTAGTATTATCATTTTCATTTCATTTCATTTATATTCTGCTTTTGTAAAAGCAGTATTTTGAGATGGACATATGATCTTCATTGTATTTCTCAATTCATTATTTAATTTCTCATCGATTCATTTTTTGTGAGTATAGCTTGATAAGCCGTAACTTTAAAATGGTAGATTCCATTAACTTTAAATTGGTAGCTTTCATTTGCTTTTTTTGGCATATGCAGACAATGTTTTCATCAGTAGTTAGGATCTCAGGGTTATGCTTTTTCCCCAATGAAGGTATGAAATATAATCTTTTCTGCTTTTACTTATCATTCACCAAGGAGTTGTTCCCTCTCCATCTAGGCCATCATTATTGCCAGGCTGGTTATGACTCAGAAGATGTTATCTGAAAAAAGTCTACAGAAAAAAAGATTTCCCCTCCCTCGTCAACAAAGCCCACCCTTTCTTTTATCAGTTATGATTTACAAACTTAGGATGCAAACATAAAATATACAATTGACAATAATTTTAAAGCATACCTTAACATCTTGTTTTGCAGTCAAAGGAAAAATGTTTTTCCTACACCAAAAAACACACACACTTGCTCATGTACAATTAAAAATAGAATCTTACTTGTAACACAAAAGCTACCATCAGAAGAAATCCCTTCAGGATCATTAAGCCACTTCCTCTGCTCTGAAGCTCCTATAGTATTAACTTTTATTAAACCACCTGAAAAAAATTCCAAAAGAGAACCAACACACTACCATATCCAAACTTCAGTGTTCAAAAATTCCCAAGGTATTCTCTTTGTCAGCCCAGTGGGCTAGACCAACCCCGTCCAACACTTTCCTTCCCCAGGCCCTGCATTTTGAATCCAGTGGATCTTCATGAAACTTCCCAGCTGCTCAATTCAAAAATTGAGGGCAAACAAAAACTTGAAGATTGGGAGTTACTTGCCAACATGGAAGTTGAGATTCCTTAGTTTTTTCATCCTAAGTACTTAAGTTCTCTGGCATGAGTTTATCTGAAATCATAAACTAAACAATTACCTAAACCCAACCCCCCCAACCCCAACCATAACAAGCTACTGCCAAAGGTTGCCAAAATTTGCCCCTCCCCTTTTAATAAAAGGTTATTTTAAAAGTCACAGTATTTGAAAACTTAACTTCAACATTTGGCCTAGTCAAGATCTTCTGAAGTTCTCCTGAGATGACTGAATGTGAACCAAAGCTGCACTGTGCTGTACCTTTCAGCTTCAACTGGGAATACTCTTCCAAGAGAAGAAGCAGCTCCAATCCCTAAAGGCGGTGTTGCCAACAGCATATCGGCACAATCCTTCTCTAACCCAGTTTGTCAATAGCACTATAGCATCTGTGGAAAATCTTAGAAAAAAACATTTTGCTCCCCCCACCCTTTTCCCTATTAAGAACACCCCAAAATACTTCAAATAAACTTTTAAGGATTACATACTTTTAAAAATCTGATTATGGGGTGGAAAAAAAGAATAACTACCAGCCATTTCTCCAATGCACAGCTCCTCCACAGACCTCAAAGTGAGAACTGCTCGTGCTCTAATTTCTAGAAACTGTAAACCTGTGATGTTCTGATTATCCTGATACTGGATTTTCTTTTTTTCTGTTACCTTGAGTCATTTGCCTTTGAGATTCTAGACAGACCTAAGGGGAAAAGAACTCAAGACATTTTGCCCCCCCACAAAAACTTCCCCCCATACACGCCCAAACTTGACATTCACAAAACTCAAATGTTTCATTACCCCCAAGCTAAAAAACAAAACTTGCCTTAATTTTGTCTCAATTCATGTTTCCCTCAAATTGGTTAAAAGACAAAAACCATAAAACTTGCCATCTACCATTCCTCCGGGCCTTGGAAGTCTGCCCTCAAAAGCTTCAGACAAGATGCATGAGAAAATAAGCCTGAAAAAGAGAAACCTACAACACCCGGAAATCGGCCTACATTCCATAAGAGAGCCCTTGCCGCTTAATACAACGCCCCCATTACCATTAGTGAAGTAAAGGTTACCATTCTCGTTACCAAAAACCAGGGCGCGGCCGGCCTCCCGGACTTTACCACCACTGGCTGCCCCGCGGCCTCGCACCGGACGCCCGCTGCTCTAGGCTCCTCTATCTATCCTCCAACCGCCTGCTCGCCGCCTCCGCCTGGTCGCCTGGTCGCCCAGTCGCACGCTGGCGTCAGCACGCCGCACGGGCTCCTCCTCCTTCCCCGGAAGCCTCTCTAGCTTCACCGCCAAGCGCTCCTCCTTCTTGCTAGCTGCCTCCACACCGCACTGCTCCCGGGCTCCTCTCCTATTCGCCAGCCGCCGCTGGCCGCTCAGTCCTAGCTTCACCACACTGGCTCCTGGAATCCTGTCTGTCGCTCCTGTCGTCCTAGCTTCACTGAATCCACTTCTGTGTAGCACCTGGTCAGCTGACAATTAACGCTAAGTCCTCAGGTTTTACTTCATCTGAGCTCAGTCCAAAGCAAAAGCGTTAAGTTGGTGATTATTCTTGATCTCGAATTACTTCGGTTATGAAAGTCCTTTAAATTTTCCAAAGAGAACTAAGCTAATGTACTTAGGCCTTTCAAGATTTTGTAAGTCTTCCAAAACATCCTACCCTTAGTTTTAAGATTACTTCAGTCCTTTTAGTGGATTTTTGCTATTTTTTTTTTAGCCGATTTCCCTTCTAGCTTCTTCCGGATATTTTTCTAAATTAGGCCTGTTCTACAGCAATTTAAACATCCTCGTCTTCTCAAAGCTAACTTCTGCACCACCAGAAATTAAACTTATGAGCTTTTATAGTAAATTATTAAATTACAAATTAAAATTTTAATTTCCTTTTGTTCCTGTACTATCTTCTAGCTGAAATACTTTTCTTGACAACCTTCTATCTTCTACTAAACTTGTATCTTCTCGTTTTCTATCTTCTACTTTTCTACTAAACTTGTATCTTCTCATTTTCTATCTTCTATTTTTCTACTTAGTCTGTATCTTCTCATTTTCTATCTTCTATTTTTCTACTTTTCTGTATCTTCTCATTTTCTATCTTCTATTTTTCTACTTAGTCTGTATCTCATTTTCTATCTTCTATTTTTCTACTTAGTCTGTATCTTCTCATTTTCTATCTTCTATTTTTCTACTTAGTCTGTATCTTCTCATTTTCTATCTTCTATTTTTCTACTTTTCTGTATCTTCTCATTTTCTATCTTCTATTTTTCTACTTAGTCTGTATCTCATTTTCTATCTTCTATTTTTCTACTTAGTCTGTATCTTCTCATTTTCTATCTTCTAGTTTTCTACTTTTCTGTATCTTCTCATTTTCTATCTTCTATTTTTCTACTTAATCTGTATCTTTTTCTATCTTCTATTTTCTACTAAACTTGTATCTTCTCATTTTCTATCTTCTATTTTTCTACTTAAATCTGTATCTTCTCATTTTCTATCTTCTACTTTTCTATTAAATCTGTATCTTCTCATTTTCTATCTTCTGGTTTTCTACTACATTTGTATCTGTGCCCTTAGTTGCTTTGGTTAGTTTGCCTAAATACTTTCTCTTCTGCTTTCTACCTTTTGGACTTAGTTTTTCTGTCTTCTAAAATGCATGTTGTATCTTCTATTTTCCTGTCTTCTCTAAGTCTTTTTCTTCACCTTCCTGTACACTTCTGTCTTCCAAGTTTTCCACTTCAAATTTCTAATCTTCTCCAAAATTTTATCCTACAATTTCTAAATTAACAATTGCCCATCTTGGGCTAATAATGCCGTAAGAGCAATTGGGCTTCAAATGACACAATCTTTCCTGCGCCATGAATTTGAAGGCCTCTCTTAAATCAATTTTCTTTTAAATACGGCATTTAATAGATAGTTTAACCACCTCCAACTTTCTTTAATTAACAATTATGTTCTAGTTATGTCACCTACGGTTTAATGGTATTTTTAAAGTTTGCCCTTCAATTTAATTAAGGCGTTTTTGAGTTCAGACTTTGCCGTCCTATCAGCCATTTCTTTGAAAATTATTTTACTTCGTAAAGAAGTTTCATCTCTTAATCTCCGTCATGTTCTGGAAGTATTTTCTTTCTTCCTTTCTGAAACTACTTTTTAAGTAAGTCTTCATCCTATTTTCCCTTAAATAAGATCTTTGTTACAAAAGTTAAAATATTAATGCTAAGCAGTATCTCAGTAAGTACCTTCCTTCGCTATTTACATTTCCTAAACAATATTATTTTCTATCTCTTTTTAATAGAAAAACTTATCTGGTTTCCTCAAGTAGTGCCTCGGTCTCAGAAGTCATCTCTGCGCTCCTGCCTGAATGCCTGCCGCAGAGCGGGGAGAGGCGTATTTATGGGCGAAGGACAACTCACGCTGTTGGCATTCAATAACCCTCCGCAGCCTTTGTGAGGAAGCAAAAGTAGTCCCTAGGAAAGGTTAAAAATAGAATCTGGTTTACAAGCTTTTCTAGTTTTTTCTAACCGTTTATGCAAAATAATTGCAAACCATATACCCAGAAATATTTAAGACTCATTAGCAAGTAGATTTGAGCTGAAAATTTAGGCAAAATCCATGGAAATCACATTTGAGTCCACCATCAAACAGCTCACAAAACCTCAGAGCCATTGCTTGGGAATCTTTTAGCAGCTTTGAAAATACCTTTCCTCGAAGTTCAGTTGGTACTATTTAGTGCTTTTTGAAGGCAGGTTAACACGGGTTTGCTAAAGGCCTTAATTTTCATTATGTAACAGAGACCGCAGCCATTTTGGCTGCGGCAAAGTGTTGAGGTCCCCCCCCCCAACTGCTCACGTCCTGTGAGTTGATTCTGGGGTTACACCACGTTTTGATTACCCGTTTATTTGAGAAATCCAGTGGTCTGGATTATCTGCTTAATTCTACTGAATGTGGGAATTCACTAATAGAACATGTCTTAGGTAGACACAATCCACTGTTATCTCCGGCAATAGAGTCGGCACCCTACAATCTGAGGCGTCCGTGCGGCTCACTGTGGTTATTTTACTTGCTTAACGTCCTTTTGTTTGTGCCATTCCTGCCAGCTAGACCCTATGCTTTTGGTTGCCTGCTGAGACTTTAAATCAAGCCTGGTTTCTGTGTTCCTAGGCTTTTCTCTCATTATCAACATCCAAACCCGCTGTCAAAACTGAGGGGAAGTGCCCTCTATAAAGCGCCCAAACAGCGAGGGTTTTGCCTCTAAAGACACAGTGACCTTGGGCAGCCGGGCCAGGCGGGCTTGTCAGCGCTCAGGGTCGCTTTCTGGGCTCTTGTTGTACAGACGCTACCCTTTCCGGTTTGGCTGCATTCTAACACCTTCGGACTTGGAGGTGGAAGGAAAGCAAAAACTCACACAAAGCCCTTTCTTCCTGCAGTTTGGTTTTCTCTTGGCCGCCCCTCCGTCTCTCCCCACAGGGAAAGCGGGGTTGGGCTCCGGACATGGAACTTGCAAACCCGGGGCCCAGGCAGCAACGAGCCCGGCCTCCCCAGCGAGGCCTGAGGGAGTGGGAACAACGGCACCGGAGGCTCCCCGCACAGTTTCCACGGAGCCAAACGGGCTGCACAGAGAAGGCAAAACCAGGGTGAGGCGGGGTGGGGGTCCCGCTCCCCTTAGTTCAGTCTCCCCACCCTCGGGCGGCCCGGCGCGGCCCGGGACCCGGCTGGGGGAGGGGCGCGGCCCGGCACCCACCCACGCCGGCCCGGCGCAGGGATACGCGGGCAGTGAGCCGCCGCCTGCCTTTGTGAGGTGTTGGCTTCCGGGCGGGCGTCACCGGTTCCAGCCGGTTCCAGCCGGTTCCAGCCGCCTCCGGGAGCCGGCGGTTGGCGCAGCGCGCCACTGCGCAGGCGCGCCCCGCCCCCAGGGCCCGTGTGCGGCCGGGGAAGAGGCGTTGGGGGAGGGGCGCGGCTCCGGCCCGGCTTCCTGGCCGCCCCTCCTCCCTCCCCTGCGCGCGGGTGGCTCTCCCCTTCCCCGTCGTCCGTTTTCAGCTTTTTCTTCCTTTGTCAGAGTCATCCATTAATTTAATATCTATCAAACGGCACGTCTTTAGGCAGGCAGTTCCAAGAGGGGAAGATGGAGTTTAGTGACCGATACAGGCTAGCATGGCAGCTAGAGGAGGAGCTGTATGAGGCCCACACTCTCTTTAAGGCCCTGTGGCTCCTGTATGGCGGCGGCTGTGGAGGGTGGGAGCCGCCTGGGGCTCCGCAGTGAGGGCGCGGCCTCGTGCGGACCCCCTCCCGCACCCAGTAAAGCGGGGGCTGGTTTAACCTTCCCTCCCGCTTCCCCGCCTTCCCTTCAGGGGGGAATGTCACCGAGATGCAGACGGATGTCCGCGCTGGGAGTGGAAAATTTTTATAGAATTTTAGCACCGGAAGGAGGAAAACAGTCACCCCATTTTACCAATGGGGATTTGGGAGCCCGGGGAGTCTGTGATTTGCCTAAAACCAGACACAGCTCATTAGTACCAGAACCTATTCCTGAATCCCAGAACCTGGCCTTCATGGCGCCTCCCCCTCACCTCCTCCCGGCGCCTCTGTCAGCCCGGGGAGGGCTGAGGGCGCGGCCCCTCGGGATCGGTGGTCTGGTCCCACTCCGGAGCCATGAGATGAGTGTTAAGAGCCCGAAAGTGCTTCAAATAATTGTCAGAATGTCCCTACACTAGTCCCCCATTCCCTTTACAGATTATAGCATTTTTCTTATGTGAAAATGGCTGTATATTATTTGATTAATTCTCCTTGGGTTTGTTTGGGAAAAGAAATAGAGGATTTGAATGCAGCTCAGCACTGTGCTAAGAGATGGCTTGCCAAGGCCAGAGAGAACATTCTAATTCTTCTGATGGGTAAATGAAAAACATTCTAGAGATGATTATGGACACTAACTCCTGTTTTTACTGTTCAGGCTCAAACATGGATTGCCTTCATCTCTCCTAGCTTTTGCTTCACAAAACAGTCTCTAAAATATTCTGATTCCTACCCTCCTCTCCTTTATATATTGATTTAAACAAGATGGTAAAATCACCATGTTCTTTGATGAGATTAATATGTGCCTTCCCTCAACTCTTTGACCTAAGAAGATCTTTAACATAAAACTGCATTTTTCAAGGTGCTTTTCCCCTTGCCTGCATCCATGTTTCCATTAACGTCAGGATGGCCGCTGCTCTCTCCGCTGGTACTTCATATCCTCCTCAGTCTAAAAACCTGGACTTCATTTGAGCCTAAAGATACAAATTTAGAGGGCAAATGCATTTTATTTTATTTTTTTTAATTATTATTATTTTTTTTTTTTGCAAATCCATTTTAGCTGGTTGTCTCCTGTTCCCTGCCCCCACCCTCAAAAAGCCGAGGCTAAGAATAGGAGGTCCTTGGTTTCTGGCAATCACTCCAGGGAGGAACCAATGTGACCTTGGGCACTAACCCAAATAACTTCTCAGCAATTTTCTGAGGTGTAGAATGAGGAGATGAGATGACAGAAGTGATGATGCTAATTCTATAAAATGCAGTAAACAAAGCGATGGGAGGAGAACGTGGGGGATTTTAGATCCTGGTTTTGGCTTCAAGGAGGTGGGCACTGAAAAGGACTAAAGTAGCGAGATTTAGAATTAGGGCTCCAGGGCCTGCTGTCAGCAAGGCCCTACCTCATCCCCCAGACTCACACCACGGTCAGAAACCTCCAGAAAATGCCCGAATCCTTCCCTCTTCAGTCAGGCTTACTCAAGAGAGAAGCTTCTGAGGCCCTTGGTATTTGGGCCTGGGGTCCAGAGCCAGAGGGGTGAGGCTTCAGCTACACCTGGATCCCCTCCGGGCCTCTTGTTTGCTTTTAATCTCATCCTTGTGGGGGTTTTTTTTCTGATCCTGCATTACCAGAGACTGTTCTAGAAATGCATGTCTCAAAAGGCAATGGGTGTCCCAAAGAAACAACTTGCTGGTTTTCTGAAGACTAGAAATTAGGAGTTCCCAGCCCCCTCCTGCCGCCCACCTTCCAGAGCTGATCTCTGGAACAATGACCACAAAATGTTCAGCTCCTCCTCTGCAGAGCAGCCAGATCCTGCGGCAGGAAAAAACCCAGGGATGACTCAGCTCACAGCTCCATTATGCGGAAGAGAGATCAACAGCAATTAGAAGTGGCTAAAGGAGAAACATCCTTAATCCCGAGTACTTTATAGTCCAGTGAGTTAGACAGAAATGTAAACCAATCACAGTACAATGTGATCATTGTATTTGTGATATCTACAACAAAGATATATACAAAGTGCTATGGAAAACAGGTCTGGGGTGGGAGGGATGGAGGGTAGTATAATCCTCTGAGTGCTGCGTAGGAAGTAGAGGGTGAGGGGGAACTAACCACTACCCAGAAGAACTGGGAGATGATATAGAAAGTAAGAAGTTATCTTTTGTCGCCGAGGAATACCTGACCTCTAGAATATATCATTCACAATGACCTGAAAGTTTCATCTTTTAATAACAAAAAAGTTAAAGAGATTCCATTTTACTTACCAATGTCAGGAGTCAACAGTTCACTGCCTCACTGGCTGAAACACTGACACACGCTAGGGCCTGTTGGGCTGGGAAGAGTCCAGAAATAATTCTTGATGTTATTTCTTGTTCTACCCCAGGGGATAAAAGTTAAGGATTCCTAAATGTGATCAAAATGTACAGTGTTAGAAATTCCAACCTTAAAAATAACCTTTAACCATGAACACAAACACTGATGTGTGAAAATAGTCATTCTAAAAGCTGAATCTGGAAAGAAGAAAAAATCAAATGTACCCTCCAGCAAAATAAATCACATGAAACAGAAAAGGGGGGGAGGCTAGAAGTGGCTGTAACCCTGGTCTTCCCCCGAAATGCTGCCAGGAAGAGGCAGCCCTGGCCTCTCCCACACAGACACTGGGCAGCACTCGGTAGAAGAATAAGGGAAACGTTTTCCTCTTCCTGAGAAAAGCATCCATCTTCTAAATGCCCCTCTCCTAAGACTCAGAAGAAGGGTTCTGTGTGATAGGATCCACTTCTGCGGAGGGAACAACAGTATCTTGAAAGAGCAGTTCCCCACCCCCAACCCCAGAGCTCCAGGCTGCTAGTTCCCTTCTTTAGTTTATTCCCCACTTAACGTGTCTGGTGCTGGCCCTGCAGCCTGCTCTGTGGATCTTTCTAGAAGGCCTGGGTGTGGCAGTGCAGCTGTAGCACCCTGAGCTGTGGGAGGAGAGGCAGCAGTGGCCAGAGCATGGCTCTCAGAGGAGCAGCTTTAGCCCCATCACAGTAGAGACTTTACTGACCTCCTCCCCCCAGTAGAGAACAGAGTGCACCGGCTTTCCTTGGCCCCTCCACTGCCCCTGGTGTGTCTGCAGGACAGTAAACCCAGCAGACAGCTTTCTGTTCTGTGACATTTAAAGAGCACCGTGCATGATCTCTTCTCAGTCCTCTCAACCACCCTGTGAGGGAGACGCTGCTGTTACCCCCTTAGAGGGATGAGGAAACGGAGGCCTAGGAGGTCTGTCTTGGTATCACTAGTGCTTGGCGCACAGTCTTGAGATTAAAAACCCAAGAAGAACAGTGGAGAGAGCCTGGTGATAGATGCTCAGTAGGTGCAGCGCCACTGAGCGACCCAAAAGCCAGCACAGAAGGGGCTGTGAGAGAACCAGGGTTCCCCCTCCTGGGATTTCCTAGAGACACTTGTCGCAGTAAGCCCAGTGGTAAGGGAGGTTTTCAGCAGGTTGTTGTGATGTTTACGTCCTGGAGAATGGTGCTGAGTATTGTTAGTAAGGAAGAAGGAAGTGATGAGGCACAATGTGACGTGACTCTACAGGAACAAGATGAGTTAGATTTGACATGAACGCACTGCCCATCAGGATGGAGTGACTGCGTGGAGCTGGTACTGAGTAAGAAAGGGGGAAGTGCTTCCCTCTCTGAAGAACTTCTAGACCAGCGGTTCTCAACCTGTGGGTCGCGACCCCTTTGGTGGTCGAATGACCCTTTCACAGGGGTCGCCTAAGAGCATCCTGCATATCAGATATTTACATTACGATTCATCACAGTAGCAACATTACAGTTATGAAGTAGCAACGAAAATAATTTTATGGTTGGGTCACAACATGAGGAACTGTATTTAAAGGGCCAGAAGGTTGAGAACCACTGTAGACAGACTGTGATCCACGAAGGCAGGAAAGAAGACCCGAAGGCCGCCTTAGGGCTCCATGAAGCTCCAGTTGGGCATTCACCCTCGAGGGGAGGGGAGCGAGGGGAGGGCTCAGGCCTTGCTGTCATCCCGCTGTGTGACTCACTGCGGGGAGGCAGAGTGTCCAGCCCTCCCTTGTGCTGGGGCCTCTAGTTACTCACCCTCTGAGGCCTGCTGAGTGGACCTTCAGAAATAGCCTGAAGGAATCGGGAGGCTCCCCAGTGAATCATGTTGACCTTCTTGTATCCCCACCTGTGATCTGTTCAATCACCCCCTTTGAGGTCCCGGCAGATGTTTGTGTCAGCATCACATACGCGTTGCACACCCAGCAGGAAGCTCATTAAACATTTCACATCTTCCGTATGTGTTCATTCTTTCTCAACCCAACTGTGGCCCACATCCCCACAGAAACAAGTCTTGTAGAACAAGGGGGCAGAGGTCACCCAGTTCCAGGAACTTTGCCAATGGTGCATTTCTCAACATATGCCAGGTAAAAACAGAAGCCCATAGCATTATGGATCCTTCCTGGGGCTAAGGTCATAGTAGAGCTGTACAGTGACTGAGATGGAGTGGACCTTAAAGCTCATTACGTGCTGGGAACCCAGGGGAAGCAGGAAGGGAAGACTAAAGTGAGGTCTGCCAGGGCTTGAATTACCTGGAGAGGGGTCTGAACTCGACTCTTTGGGCAGAGGCTGACTCCTGAGCTGGGAGGGGGCCTGGCTTTGGGAAATGCCGTGGCTGCTCTTTGCAAGGTGGCTGAGGGGGAAGAGGTGGCAGAGGGGAGGGCACTGGTGTCCATTCTTGCAGCCCAGGCAGGCCAGAGGTCATGGAGGCCTGCACTGGGGTGGGTGGTGGCCATGGGACAAGGGACAGAACACAGGTATAGAAAACCTGCCTGAGGCTCTCTGAGCTTCCCACACTGGTCTCTGTAGCACCCCTGGCGTTTCCAGAATCATGTTCTTTACTCTTGATGACACATCTGCTTGGAATATACCTCCCTACTCTTCAGATGAGACTCGTTCTCTCAGCCTAGACGGCACTCCTCTCCAAGGGCCTCTCGGACCAGCACATCCAGTCACCTGGCATCATCACCCCTTAGTTATCTCACCTCTGACTCAGCACAGCCTCTATTTTCCTGGATGATGCTGTGTTGTTAACATGTCCCCTGGTTCCTCTGAAGGTCAGTGGGAATACGAGGATTGCAGCCAGGTTGGTGGGAGGATGAGGTGCCACTGCTGGAGCCTGAAAGTGGACAGAGAAACCTCAGGCTCACTCACGCCCAGAGGTGGGAGAGGTGACCTGTATCAACCTCACTGAGGGCGACCCCTCCCCTCCCTCCAGCTGTGGACAAAGGATGCAGACACCATAGAGATGGCATTTTGTCCTGTTTGGTAACCTCACTTGATTGCCCTGAGGCCAGGGCTCCATCTGGCCCCCACCCCAGCTGTTGCTGCGGTGGGAGAACCTCACTGGAGGTGGGCAGAGCTGAGATCCTGGGCAAGGAGAGGTGGGAGTGGGGAGGGGGAGAGCTCCTGGTGTCTTCCCAGCTCCCCTCTCACACACAGTCGCTTCTTCCACTTGGGAGCTGTGGGAAATAAATACACAAAATGCTCCCCCCAAGAGAACTGAGCAGACATGGTGCACTCCCCGTTTAGGTGCCTCTGGGCTAGTTCTGGGCCCGACGCCTTGTGCTTTGGAAGGCACAGGCACAGGAACTGGCCTGGCTTCAGAACCCTGACAAGATGGTGGGAGCTGCCATTCCTCCCTTTGCCTTCCCGGGAGCGGGAATCCTGGGACCTGTCAGTTGGGGTGACAATTCCAGTTTCCAGGTGGCACAGTGCCCTGGGTGCCTGAAGCTCTGACCACCGTCTGTGGCTGTCACGGTCCTGGGGGAGCCCTCGGCTCTCCAGCCTGCAGCCCACACAAGCAAAAGAACTTTGGACTCATCAGGGCCTGGGAGGAAGGTGGAGCTGGGAACAGCGCTGGGAAAAGAACTTGGGTGGAAATTTCCATGGCTGTTCTGCTTCAGCAAAGACTTCAGCTGAGACCTTTTGGCCTAGACAGAGACCAGTGGGCTACAGACCATCAAAGTCACACTGGGTGACCCTTCCTCATTGTCCCAGATGCTTTTCACTTACTGTCCCACCCTGAACCAGGGCCATAAAGCTCAACCAGTTGTGTCCCTCTGTTTCCTCCTTCTAGCCCTGCTTGCTATCAGATCCCTAGGTCACAGGACATGGTGAAATGGTTCCTGAACCCACCCGTCAGGAACCAGGTCAGAGCCCTTTCCTCCTGCAGGAGGCTGCTCAACGGCCAGTCCTTCCTGCAGACGCCTGTGGCCTTTGTGATCCAGTGACCTCAACAGCACTCCTGTGATCACACCCTTCACTCAGTGACTCATCTGTTGTGACCTTAAGCTATGGCATATGACTTCTGTTCTTTGTTATTGTCACTTAACATCCTTGAAAACAGAGTTGGGGTCTTCCTACGGCCCTGCCTCAGCTCAGAGCAGCTCTGCACATGCTTGCCCAGCACCGGGAGTTGCTCCTGGCCTCACCCCAGGTTCCTTCCAGCTGCTGGTTCTTGGCTCTGCCAGCAGCCACGCAGCAATGTGTGTAGGCCCGACTCCCTCCCTGCCCAGCACGGCCAGTTCTACAGGATGAAACAAGGACTGGGCCGGTCTGCCTGACCCACCAGCCCCCAGCTCCATATCCTTCCCCTCAGCCTCAAAGTCACCCTCCTTGTTTGGTGAAGCCTCCCTTCAGCTCCCCTGAAAACCATGGCTCTCGCCCCCTCTGCACCCTCCCCCGCCTCATCCGGTCCTGCACACTGCAAGCATTAGAGAGCCATCGAGGAGAGAATGGCCTGCTGCCTCAACATGCTCTGTGACATAGGCAAATTCCCTAACCTCTCTGAACCACGTTTATTCCTCAGTGAAATAGAAATGTCCTGTGCCCCACCCTCCTGTCAGGGGTGTGAGGCTACCAGGAGCTTGGTACAGGGCCGGGCTCAAATGATTTGCGCTATAAATGCTGTCACTACCAACTTGGACTACCTTCCTCCCCCTCCAGGACCAAGCACAGTGCATGCTCCCCCCTCCCAGGCCCCTGGATCTGGCTGGGGCCAGGCACCGCTCGGAAAGGGTTAAACACCGGCCCTGACTTCATCCTGGGCCCCTCAAGCAGGAAGGAGGCAGAGAAGGTAACAGAATCAGGCTGAAGGCTGGGCGGAATTTTCCAGTCCTCATAAACAGGACCAGCCTGAGTTGCTAAGGGAGGTCACCATGGAAACGGTCACGTGTGCCGGCCTTCTCGTTATTCCAACCTGGCTGGAGGCC